TTTGCTCATGCCAAAAGATTGCCGTACCGTTAAATTATATCTACAATTGTCATGCAGGTCCACGTGCCTTGATGGCTATTCTAAGGCATCAATTTTGGTTGTCTTGTCAAGCGTATAATAGCATTGTTAGGCAGTGTGTACATTGCTTTCGTTATAAGCCAGTCTTGGCAACCCAAATAATAGGAAATCATGGCAATAGACCGTTCGAAATCAGTGGAGTGGACTTTTGTGTTCCAATTTTTGTAACCTTAAGATGTTTATTGGCATATTTGTTTGTTTTGCCTCTTAGGCTGTTCACATAGAACTTGTTTCAGACCTCACTTCTAAATCATTTATCATGTGTTTGTCTAGGTTTGTTGGCCGGCGTGGACGTGTCCAGAAAATGCCACCAATTTTGTCGGTTCCTCTCGAATGCTGCAGGAGTTCAAGGATCACTTCTTTGCCAACAAGGAGTTCGCAGCCACGCGTGGGATCACCTTCTAGTTCATCCCACCCCGAGCACCCCATTTTGGCGGCCTTTGGGAGGCGGCCGTGAAATCGGCGAAAGGATTAATGGTCAAGGCCGTGGGCATTGCAGTGCTCCGACTGGACGTACAGATAGAAGCCGTTCTGAATTCAAGGCCCATGGTCGTGGACAGCTCCAGCCCAAACGATGGCGAAGCACTAACCCCAGCTCATCTGTTGGTCGGGATAACGCTCGTTGCGCTGCCATTCGTGTCAAGTCCGCCAGTAACAAACGACAATCTGAGCTACTTGAAGAGACGACAACTGATATCCGATGTCAAGCAACGGTTTCGGGTAGATTGGCCTGAAGCAGCGGCAGAATTGGCTAAGCGAGAGCCACAACATAGAAATGTGAACAATCGTGGTGGTCCACGAAGACAACAGTCCGCCTCAGCAGTGGCTACTAGGAGTCATCGAGGAGGTGATCAAAGGCGAGGATAGAAAGGTTCGAGTGGCAGTCGTGAGAACTAAGTCTGGCGTTTTTAAGCGTTCTATTCGTCGATTAGCTTCTTTGCCTATGGACGAATCTTGAAGCCTTACACCATTCAACGCGGCCAATGTTAAGTCATTTCATTTTTTATAGTTTGCTTAGATATAAATATGTAATTATAGTTAAAACAAATACTCTTATATAAAGCTCGAATTGAATTATTACTCTTAAGCTAACATTACGCTCTTTAATGGTCGCGCTCATTCTGGAATTCTCTTTGTTAACCATTGGAAATTATAAAGATCACTTGAGAAGAAGAACTGATAGAGAGAGCATGTTTTTACTGTCTGTCCCGTCCGCCTACGCGAGTTAGCCTTCGAATAATTTATTGACCTTTAAATTTGGAGTTGCTTGTGGCACAGGGCCAAGTTAGAGGAAGGCTCCCCATTTGGACCTAATCTAATTTATCTGCCAATCTAATTTATCCACCTTACAGAAATTAAGTATAAACTATTTGTATACCCTTGCAGGGCAAAAGGGTATTATGATTTCAGTCAGAAGTTTGCAACGCAGTGAAGGAGACACCTCAGACCCCAAAAAGTATATATATTCTTGATCAGTATCACGATATGAATCGAAATATGTATGTTCGTCTGTCCGTCTGTCCATCTGTCCGTCTGTCCATCTGTCCGTCTGTCCGTTTCCGCACAAACTAGTCTGTCAGTTTTAAAGCTATCTTGCTGAAACTTTCCAAAAAATGTGTAGTTATTGCACGCAATATATAAGTCGGATAGGGCCGGATCGGGCGACTTTATAGGATAGCTTCCATACGAGAAATTGAAAAATATTATCAAGCCGTTGTCGACACTTTTTTTATTATTAAAATCGTTCAAACCACAATTAGGATTTTTTATTATTGTTGAAAATTACAATTACATATTTATATGTACAAATATGAGTATGTTGTTAAATTCTTTAATTTAAGTTGTTGGATCTTTTCTATGACAAATACATATATTGTCCCTACATATACTTGTAAGCAATAGCTACAAGACTTTTGTCAAGCCTCAGCTATAAGTATAAAATATAGACGGTTACGTTCAGCACGCTCCACAGTGGGCGATTTGGCCTCGCCAGCGGCATTTAATTTAAATTTAAACTTTCAAAAAGCTATGATTTTTTTCACAATTCGATAATGGATACTTTGATTAGATTTTTCCAAGCATTTTATAAGCTCTACGATCAGCTGATCATCAGCTGTGAACGGACAAACACAGCATATGATTTTTCAAAGAGCTTTACAAAATTTTATCTGTTTGCGCGCATCGAATTCAAGTTCCTCGGAAATTTACAATTATTAGTGAATTTATAAAAAGTTTGGTTTTTTATTAATTTTAAGGTATGTATTACAAAAAAAATAATTTTTGTGACCGGTCTATAAATGTGTAGCTCATTAAACGTAGTGGTAATTCAGTGTATTAATAACGAGCCCGGATTAGCGTACACCTGTCTTTCGTGGAGTAGAACTTACCTGATTCAAGTGGATTCAGTATAACTATTGTATTAGCCGAAAGTGTGAATCAGTGGCGTCCAATATGTGTAATATGAACTGCTAGTACCTGCTAGCCTTCAAACTATGGTACTTTTAAGGCACAATGTCAGTAGCAAAAAGGGATCTTTTTTTAGTATATTTTAGTATTTTTACTATGCCTCCGTCTGATTTCGGTAATTCCAAATAAAATTCTAGCCTTTTTTAGATAAAGTTTATTTATGATATTTATAATTTTATTTATAAACTTAATTTTTATCGGAACTATAGGGCTTTCAGTTATAGTATTTCACAGGGTAGTGGGACATTAGGTGCCTAACAATTTTGCATTAAAATCTCAATTTCGAAAAAAAGCGACATACGATACAGTCGCGGAAATGCGTCGATATTATAACTGAAAGCCCTATAGTTCCGATAAAAATTAAGTTTCAATTTTATCGTATGTTACAATGTGCGCGCGAAATTATCGTATGTCCATACAATTTTTTTTTTAATTGCATGGAAATACTGCAATCGCACAAAAATACCGAAATACAAAAATAAAGAAAAAGCTTCTTCTGTAAAATTTGATTTTTCTACATACGATACATTCGCGGAAATGCGTCGATATGTTAATTGAAGTTAAAAAAAATAAAAGTAAAAAAAAATTTATATAAAAAAAAAATTTTTTTAAATAAAAAAAAAATAAAAGAAAATTAAAAAAAAATTTTTTAACTTAAAAAATTCTATGATTTTTCTCTGATCAGTGAAAAAAAAACCGACTGAAGACATCTATTTTAGTTTAGAAGTTATTAATTAAATGCCGCTAGCGAGACCAAATCGCCCACTGTGCGCTCGTCCTTTTATAGCGTATGATTAAAAAAAATGAATTGTGCAGTTATGTCAGCTAGCAAATGGAAGGCGTAAATTTTGAAAATAATCGTATGTTGAGCAAGGCACGCAATATAGAAGCTAGGGGAGAGTGGGGATAGGTGAACCACTTTTTTTGTTGAACATTATTATGTTTGAACAATTTGACGTTGGGGTCTGCTGTTTATAGGAATCTAAAAGAGCATTCATTCCTTTGCATTTAAAGTATTTTGTGAAAATAATATGTCACGTTTTTTGAACTTTATGAGCATTTTAAATTTTTGTCTCCCCCACAAACATAGTTGAACCACCTTTCAGGCTAATGGAATATTTTGAAAAGCGTGAGATATACGTGAAAATAACATAATTTGCGTCTATTTAAGCTAACAAAAAATTTTCTAGAGTTCAATGCCACAGGCGGAGCACAATAAATTTTTCCCAAGAAAACGTCAGGTCGCAAATAGCTGCGAAAGGCGCACAAAAACTTTGATTAGTGATAGAAATGACAGCAATTGTTTGACGCGATCACGCGTACGTGTGATGTTAAGATACCGACTGGATAAACAACACATATGAAGATGGTGCACAAAATCCTGATAGAAGGTGAAATATTACTAGTGGTTCATCTATCCCCATGGTTCACCTATCCCCACTCTCCCCTATCTTTTTTTTAGGCATGCTACAATGAAATCATTAACGAAAATAGGGATTAATGATATATGTTTATCACTAGTGAACTTTCACTTTGCTCACCATACACGTATAATCTGGAATCCCAATCCGCGTACTAGTTGTAACTTGGAAATTTCCATAAGACATGAGTAAAAAATGTGTATATATTTAAGGGCGTATAAATAAGTAGAACATTAAAAATACAAAACATATAAAACTAAAATTATGCTAGTATTGTAGAACTTCAAATTGAAGTAATCATCAATAGTTTATATTGATTCCTGACTGCATCGAAATTTTTTATGAGAAAAAATTATGGGTTTTTTTTGCTGGAATACCTGTTTAAGTACTTTTCATTTGCATTTGAATTTCATCCAGTGTAGGCGACTTTCTCAAAAACGAAAGATCATTTTTAAATGATTTTTTTTTTTAATTTTACTTAATCAACACCACATAACCTCATTGGCCATTAAAAAGTTGTCTCACCGCCAAAAATTTTTCGAAGAATTTTTTTTGATATGCCCTTGACAATACATGCTTTGAGCTGGAAATTATACCTCTTACGTGCGGAGCCGTTTGTTTATATGAATTCTTACAATACTTGCTGACCTCGAATATGTAAAATTTCTAATTCATTCAAAAAATTCACTCATTTTTTGTAACCCACCCTACGCTTTACGTTGTTTGATTACCAAGCTAAATCGCGGGATAGTAATGCAGACCACGTGTTTCTTTTCCATCATTCCCCAATCGCCATAAGTGCTCGACGCCTCTTTGACCTTGGCGGTCACTTCTCGTCAGCTACTAACGAAAAATAATTTGAATTGACTGAAAAAATTATGTTACCAGAAAACTTAATTCAGCTGGATGTTGTTTTAGTTATAGATAATATTTATATAAGAGTGCGCCAGTCATACATATCTTATGACTGGCTAACTACCATTATTTGCACCGTTTCAATTTAGACGCTAATTATTTATTTTTAATATTTTTACGTACATCGTCTTTTGTGGTATAATTTGGGATGTAAGAGAAGGCCACACTGTTTCGTTCTTTTCGCTAGCAATTTCCGGCGAGGTACGAGTGAAAAAATTGTGGTCCTGGTTATATATATTATTTAATTTTTCATTTTCCAGCGGTGATACAAGTTTTCATCGAGCATTAAAATGGTGGGTCCCTTAAACTAACGGAGCAGTTTTATATTTTTAAAAAGTAGTAAATATTTGATTAACGGCACCCCACGTGCACATACGCACAATTCATTTGGTTGTTGGTAAAGCTGCCCTCAACATCTTATTTCATTTATAAAAATCAAAACAATAAACTTGCTGTGTGCGTGGCTTTTGCAGGGTTTCGTTAAGGTAGTCAAGAACAAGCAGTACTTCAAGAGGTACCAAGTCAAGTTCCGCAGGCGTCGCGAGGGCAAGACTGATTATTACGCCAGGAAGCGCCTAACCTTTCAGGACAAGAACAAGTACAATACTCCGAAGTACCGTTTGATTGTACGTCTCTCCAACAAGGACATCACCGTGCAGATTGCTTACGCTCGCATCGAAGGTGATCGCGTTGTCTGCGCGGCTTATTCACATGAGCTGCCCAAGTACGGGATTAAGGTGAGTTGGAGGTCTGATGTTAACTTGTCTAAAAGAACCGTAAACAAAAATTTTAATGTTAGGTCGGATTAACCAACTATGCGGCAGCATATTGCACCGGCCTGCTGGTCGCCCGTCGCGTGCTCAACAAGTTGGGCCTAGACTCGCTTTACGCAGGATGCACAGATGTTACTGGCGAGGAGTTCAACGTTGAGCCCGTGGACGACGGACCGGGTGCTTTCCGGTGCTTTTTTGGACGTTGGACTGGCACGCACAACAACCGGAGCTCGTGTTTTCGGTGCCATGAAGGGGGCTGTTGATGGTGGCTTAAACATTCCCCACTCGGTAAAGCGTTTTCCCGGCTACTCGGCGGAGACAAAGAGCTTCAATGCCGATGTGCATCGCGCGCATATCTTTGGTCAGCATGTCGCGGACTATATGCGCACTTTAGAAGAGGAAGATGAGGAAAGCTTTAAGCGCCAATTCAGCCGTTACATCAAGTTGGGCATACGTGCTGATGATGTAAGTACAACCCAATTTCTGGACGTCCGTTTTAAGAATTACTGCTGCGTTTTGCATATGACAACGCTGTCGGTGCCAAAAGTGGACTACATAAAATCAGTAACCTGTGTTCGAAGTACGGTCGCACAATAGATCGTACTTCCTGTTATGGTTGCACATCCCATCATATTTCTTATTAGTAAAATTCTAAGTAATGACTTCTGTTGCAGCTTGAGGATATCTACAAAAAAGCCCACCAAGCAATTCGTAACGACCCCACCCACAAGGTCACCGCTAAGAAATCTGGCGTTACGAAGAAGAGGTGGAACGCTAAGAAACTCACAATTGAGCAGCGCAAGACTAAAATTGCAGCTCACAAGGCAGCATATGTGGCCAAGCTCCAGTCTGAGACTGAGGCCTAAAAGCTATGGTCATTTATGGCAGCCTAATATGGTGTGAAAATAAAAAGTTGTAATGACATAATCGCCAAAATAATGCATTTGATTTAATTTTTATTGAAGAACCTTTGTGTAATATAAATTTGTCATCTTTGAGTTGACAAATTATCCGACTCTGTAGAATATTCCACATTAAATTTTTTTTATTTATTTTTTAACGAATATATTCAACGGTTCCGGAATTATTGGTTGATAAAATTTACAATCTTAAAATAGAAAAAATATGATAAACAAGAAAGAAACCCAACTTCGGCGGGCCGAAGCTTATATAAATAAATAAATCGACACCCCTAAAGTGATTGCCCAAATAAGATTGGGCGTAAGAACTGTTTTTTTAGTTTTCATTTTAAAATTTTTTTCGTTTTAATTTTTTGATTTCTTTGCTGGTATAGCGATGTCGTGTAAAACTTTATTTTATACCTATCCATCAAATAAGTCGAACAAAATACGTTAAGGCTAACAACATCGAAGCTTTGGCGATTTTTCCTCCTTCATTGCGTTGGAAACTTCTGACTGAAATTTTAATACCCTCTGTAAGGGTATAACAACATGTGAAAGAAATAAAGTCGATATTATCAAAAACAACGGCGTAATAATTTTTTTCCCATTCATTTTTTCGGGGAGATTTTAGTTTCCGGGGCGCCAAGATTTGAGGACATATTTTGGGTAATTGGCCCAAAGTAAAAACTTTTTAATAATTTTCGATATCTCGCACCGTTAACGAGATATCGAGTCTTAAAAAAATTGGCGGAAATTACTAAGCTAAAAACTGAAAATTGGCGGAAATTTTTTTTTTATAAAAATTACCTCAAAAAAATAATATAGCATATTTAGCAATGCATAAGTGCGCGCGAGTTACCGCTGATGTCTTGCAGATGGTATCACCTCCACCCAAGCCCCCTCGGGCAATGTCCCACTAACAGGCGATGCCGTTCAACCCGGACATCGAACCGCAGACAGCGGACTCCCGATGCCGAATCATATAAACAACTGGGCCACAACTGACCTAGGCTATTTCGCAAACACAGCATATGTACCCCACTCTAAAGCTAGCTTTCATATGTACTCAGAACTTAAATAAAAATCAGTCTTAGAACGACAAAGGAAGAAGAAGGTTGAATTTATTATTGAATCCATCAAAACGACTTAAAACCAGCCACCTCCGGACCATTGAACCAACGATTTACCAGGATCATCACGAAGTACCTATATTTATTGTGACCATCAATTGCTGATCGGCACAAAATGCATCGCGCATTATTGTGGGTATACAAAAATTAAAATGTTTAATCAAAATTACACACTGAAAACTTTTACAAAGTAACTATATTAACTGTGACCATCAATCGCTGATCGGCACAAAATGCATCGCACATTTTTATTGATTTTGAAAATTAAAATTCGCAACATACACAAATACCTTTCAAAAATATGTTTTTATTATATCCATGGCTCTCCATGAAAGGGAAAGGGAGTAGGGGTACCACTCGCGTCGGTTTTGTACCCATTTCGACAATAGATATTTAAAATCATATGGTCAGAAAATATTGCTGACGTTGTAAGGACTAAACTAGCAATTGAAAAATACTACAATTGTGCTGACAACTGCAAGGAAGCTCACAGAAGCTGACTTCTTCTGGTTTTTATAAAAACACTTATTATTTTGTTGAAAAGGGACGTGATGACAGCTAAGAAATAATCAAGCTCAACCACATACATATTTTATTTATTTGTTTTTCTTAAGTTTTTTCATTTTTTTAATGATTTTTCTTTGGGCATATTTGTCGGTGCGCTGAATCACTTCATTATATTTTCTTTTGTTGAACATTTGAAAGTTTTGATCTTCTAGCAGATCATTAACAAGAGCCTTGCTCGTTCTTGCTTTCTTTTCGTTGTAGTGGTCTATAGCCAAGTTTTGAACAGTTCCAATATGAAAATATTTTGGTAAACTTTTTGAGTCGCTTTTTTTGTAAAAGTGTTTGGGGTTTAACACTGATCGCATTTGTATGATTTTAAGTTCGTTTCGCATTTCCTCGGTAATGTCGGTTGCGGACAAATCAAACCAGCCAGATCCCGCGGTTTTGGCGCGTTCAGTCTGAAAAAAATAAGAAATGTATTGTTAAAAATTACAAAGAATGTAATTAAAAAAATGTCTGAAATTCTTTCAGATTACTAAAGAAGTCGTCAATGTGGCACCTGATTCAGAAGTAAATATACACATAGCTCTGGGGTAAGTGGACGGATAACAGTCGCTGTTTCATTTTGTTGTTGGTCTGTAAGCCATGGCCTTAATTATCTTTCTTGATATTTACGACAAACAAATTCTTGCCGAGGCTTTTTCTGTTCCGCTGAGTTTACGGCCTCTGCAATGTTTTCAATGCAGCAACCAAGATTAAAGCGGAAGAAACAGGATCAGTTATTGCCTTGCCACAGAAACCACTAGAAGTGGCCTGAGTTTTGCATCTGCAGTCGTGCGCAACTTCCGATGTCGAATTTTTCATCATAAGCATATTTGAGCTATCTACAATAATCCTTTTTTTCTGTCTAATACTCACTCTGTTGATTATGGACTGCCGCCTCTTTCCCAGATTAGGAAGCGAACATCGCTGATCAAGACCTGGATCCAACGCCCGCTTCGACCTTCGCATGTCCACTTCTGCAGTTTGTCGCCAATTGAACAAATCTTGGTTACCATTGTTAACCGGCAATGTGAGATTTCCAATCAAACTTTTCTGTTCATTGGAGTTTTTCACATTTTCCACATGTTCAACTACTACATCTGAATGCTTGTCAGTTTTTGATGTGGACTTTCTATTGTCAAACAAAGAACTTACAACATTGAGAACATTTGAACAATCAAGATCGAGGCCAAAAAGTTTCACTTCTTCCACTTCGACGTTTCTTTCGTTCTTTTTTGACAAAAGCCAATTTCCCTCGTAAACAATATTGGGTTCCTTTTCACCTTTACATTTCTGATAGCCTTTTGGATCCAGTTTAAAAATTGAATCCATTTTTATTTTGTTTGTTGATTAACAGCAAACACGTGTGAATAAGTTTCAGAGACATCGATTGGCGTCGATTGACAGCGGATTACGATCTTTTGCCTCATTACAAATTAGGGAAAATTTTGAAAGTATGCAGTTCGTTTAAACGGAATTGATGCAATTTTATAAAGATGTAAAACTCCAAAAAATGTTTGTTTTTTTTTAAATTACTGTACATTATTTTTTTTTTTTTAGAAAAATTACTTTTTTTTTGTAAAGTAAAATTATGTTGTATCTGCATATTTGGTTTCAAACAATGCTCTTATGTATTTGGAATGTTAAGTGTGTATATTGTATTTTGAATATAAAGACTACTGGGGGTACCCGATATGTGAGCATACTACATCTCCCTCCTTTTGGAAAAAAAAACTAATATAATTTTTTTTACATTTTTGTAGTAAGAGTAACGAAAATTAAATTTAAAAAAAAATGCGATTATTCAATATTTAAGAATATATTTTTGTCTGAATATTTGAAATCTAACATCTTGGCTTCTTATGAAACTTCGCAGCGCAGCGGCTGTTTTGGGTCCGTCTATGGTACAAAAAATATTTTTATTATTACAATTATATATTAATTTTTTTAATTAAAAGCAAACTTACCTTTCAAACGAATTTATCGGACATATGGCTGAATCCTAAGAAGATTTAAATAAGTTTGTAGTTAAAAACATAATATTTTTATAATCTTAACGACACTTACATGATTTTTAAACATTTCCCGCTGCCCGTTGCACAAATGAAGTAATTTCGCAACCAATCGTCAACGCACTACGCAACATAATGACGCAGGTCAATTTCATTTTTCACCCTTTGCTCCGTGAAAAACAATATGATTTTATATTGCCGAATAATACGCGATACTTGTGATGCAGTGTGTTGAGCTAATAAGCTTTTTTATTAGCTGTTGAAGTAATTATGCACGAAGAACATTTTGTTTTCGAATTCTGTAGCAGCGATTTTATTTTCGACGAAAAGAGTTACAAATGGTCCGCGGGATCGAAAAGAAGTAATACAATTCAAATTGAGACGCGGATCAGCCGATTGCTGACCCAAAGTAGAAGCCGACAAGCAACGAGAGAGAGCAAATAGAAAGATAAAGAGAGAGAGAGAGAGCGATGGTAATTATGCAGATAAGCTAAGAGCTAGCATTAAGAGATCCTAAATATCTGCTGCGGCTGGATGACCCGACATACTCCCCCCGTTGGAAGCCTGGCTTTCAACAGCATCCTTAAGGGGCAGCAGACACAGCTTATTAACTGATCGTTTTGTCACTCCTGATGTTGTCTTGAGGACTGCAACACGAGCAACTCCATCTGCACCACACAGAAACTCAAGGACTCTCGCTAGGGGCCACTTCTTCGGAGGCAAGTTCTCGTCCTTGACCAGCACCACGTCACCGACAACAAGGCCAGGCTTCGGGGTACGCCATTTAGAGCGCTGCTGCAGTAGCGTCAGATATTCTTCTTTCCATCGGGTCCAGCGGACTTGCTGCAAATAGGCCACACGTTGCCATCCATCCAATCGTCCCGTCTTCCTCCCCCCAATAGGACAATGCTGGGATCGAACTATGCAGAATAGGGCGCGAGGTCCAGTGTACAGATTACGCTCATGAAAGTGAGTAATGATGGAGGCAGTGACAGGATGGCTTCGTGACAATATGATTGGATGACTACCATTGAAGTCCAGCGACGAGTTTTTTAGTCGGCCATCCACTCTAAGAAGTCCAAACTGGTCCATAAAGGGAAATGGAGATCCGAACGAACTAGATGGGGCTACTACTCCTTTAGACTGCAAGGATTTTATGTCGCTTTTGATATCCGACGCATTAAGATCCGGCTGACGAATGCGATTGATAAACTTGTAGACGTATCCGAAAATCCTTTGAAGCGCAGCGAAGGAATTTGCAAATTTGGAACAGGCTACGATGTCTGCGTATGGTGATTTTATTAGCAGAACCTTTCGACGATCATCAAGGCGATCCAAGCTATTCTCCTTACTAACAAGAGGTACAGCAAGGGGCGAGATAAATGCAGTTCCATTGGAGACGCCATATCCTCCGGAAACAACCCATCCCAGTCGAGTCTTTTGAATGAGCGGTAATCCAGGTGCGAGCTTAATTTGTCCAACGCACAACAGCTCGTAAAACAAACTGGCTCCAATCAAAAGATCCACACGCTGAGGGATATAAAATGTAGGGTCAGCTAATTTAATGTTTTGCGGTATTTTCCAGATGCCGACGTCCACATTGAAACTAGGCTGTAGCTCAGTTATGTTGGGGGCAATAACTGCGGTTAGGTTCACCGTGTAATCAGACGTTCGGGACTGCATCGTAATATTAACTGAGTGACCATTTGTAACAAAGCTCGAATCACCGATTCCAGTAACAGATGTCGAGGACTTCATCTTCTTTGTTTGAAGCTGATCTGCAAAGCGGGATGTTATTAGATGCAGTTGAGAGCCCGAATCAAGAAGGACTCGACATGGAACGAAAACTCCAGACCGATTTTTTACGAGAACGGTGGCAGTGGCTAGGAGCACAATGTCAGTACTGAAATCCTGAGCAATAAGAGCAGTGGATGTGGAAGGCACGGCAGTTGGTTCTACGACAGCATTAAGTGAGACAGCGGCAAGGGCTTCTGGAAGCTGTGATCCTGCCTGTGAAGAAGCGGAGGCTAAATTTCCCAAGTGAAGGAGGGTGTGGTGTTTAGCTCCGCATGCACGACAATTGCTGGAATTGCACTGCCTCAATTGATGCCCTATCTTAAGGCAGTTTATGACAAGAGAGAGAGCCAGTAATGAATGGAGTGACCAGAAGCATTACAGTATGAACAAATCCATGGGTTGATATTTGTGGCAACAAAAGCGGATCTACGGGAATTAGACGTTCTATTATTTCCCACCTGATTGCCAGACGCATAGCTTGCCATAGCGAAATCTATAGTCTCCAATATCTTGCATCGCTGCTCCAAAAACGATGCCATGGATTCCCACGTCGGAATTACATTGACGAATGCTGGATCCTCTAACCGCTCTTCCCATTTGGCCTGGCTCGCAGAATCTAGCTTTTGCAGCAGTACTTGGACGATGATGCATCCTGCGATTTGTTCAGTCGTGCCCAATCCCTTTAGAGCACGAATGTGAGCGTTGAATTTATCTGACAAATCACGAAGCATCGAGACGGACCCACTCTGCACTGCCTTAAGCCCCAGGATCTCAGTAATGTGTGCCTGAAAAACTAAACGACGATTATCAAATCTTTTTTGCAATAAGTCCAATGCCACAGAATAATTGTCATCCGAAATTTCCAGAGAGCGGATGGTTTCCAACGCAGAATCCCTCAGGCATGAACGTAGATGCTGCAGCTTTTCTATGTTAGTCAGGTCAGGATGACTATCTATGATGGTTGTAAACATAGAATAGAAATCTGACCAATTCGCATAACCTCCAGCGAATTTCGGAAGCTCAAGAGCGGGAAGTGGAATAGCTCGGCGCAGAGCTTGTCGCTGTTGATGGCCGAAATAACCGGACGTATTACCATCAGCAGAGGTTGACTGCTGAAGCAATGGCGAGGAGCGCTTTGTGATCTCCGATCGAACCGTCGACTTAAGAATTACGACGATGTCATCAAATTTCTCGTCCAAGTCGTTTTCAATTTCGCCGAAATCCAATTGCTCAAGCTCGCTGAGAACCTTTTTAAATGCTCCTTGAAGCTCCTCGATAAGCTCCAACCTCACATGAAGGCTAGAATCGTCAAACGAATTCAACGCCGAACTTCACAGAGATTCTATTAAACGCTCCACTCTATTAAATAGTGAATTTGCCTTGCGTTTCAGAAATGTCACCTTGTTTGAGCTGATATTGCCGGTGAAAAGAGTTACAAATGGTCCGCGGGATCGAAAAGAAGTAATACAATTCAAATTGAGACGCGGATCAGCCGATTGCTGACCCAAAGTAGAAGCCGACAAGCAACGAGAGAGAGCAAATAGAAAGATAAAGAGAGAGAGAGAGAGCGATGGTAATTATGCTAGCTTATCTGCATAATTACCATCGCTAGCATTAAGAGATCCTAAATATCTGCTGCGGCTGGATGACCCGACACAGTGGTTTATTCTTTTGCGAGGGTTTTATTAAAATCGAAAAAACGAAAACGAGAGCTACGGCGATGCGTACGAAAAGGAGTTCAATTTTCAACTAAACTTTAATTTCAACAAATTCTCTTAGATGCTAACCTACAAGTACTGAGCGGGAGAGCGGCGGCCGAATTCGCCTGAGCGAGAAAGCTTTCTTAAGCCCCGATCCCCGCATTACAATACAACAAAAGAGAAATCTCCAAACACCGCCCCCTCTGAAGGGACGACGTCCTTCAGGACAACGTCGGAAGTAGAGCCAGCCGATGGATGGCTCGCCTGAGCATTCCGTCTGCCGCCTTGACGTCCGCCACTCGGACCTTTCCATCAGCGCCGACGTGCACCTCCACTACGCGCCCGATCCTCCACTGCTGGGGCGGCAGATTGTCCTCGCCGACGACGACGAGCGCTCCCACGTCGAAGTTTTGGACCTCCTTGTTCCACTTTTGCCTCGTCTGCAGGCTGGAGACGTACTCCCGGGACCATCGCTGCCAAAACCTGTGCTCGAGCGACAAGACACTGCGCCATCTTCGCAAGCAGGTCGGGCTGATCAAATTCCGGGAGTGCCGACGGTGGTGGAGCTACCAGCGGGCCGCCGATCAGGAGATATTAAAATGGCGGAGAGCTCGGAGTCTGTCTGATAGCAAGTTCCCCATAATTTGCGTCAAGATTTGCGGCTTGCATCGAAAGCAGCGGTTGTACGAACGAACGGTTCGGCGACATACGTCTTGAGCATTGACCAACCATGCTTTCTCTCGCAGGAGACTCACAAGAGCTCGAGGACCAGCGTGACAATTTGTAACGTGCAGATACGACACGTAAGTTTTAACGAACTGTGAGCTTTTTGTTAGCAACAACGGAAACTTGGCTTCGTACGGGATAGGAGCATTCAATAACCGACCACCAACTCGCA